ATATATATATACAATATATATATGTATGCATATGTGTGTATATATGTGTGTATATATATATATATATGTGTGTGTGTGTGTTGTATATTTCCATATATATATGGAAAACATTTTGTAAGATAGGAATGACTAGAACAGCATTTGTCATACAAGACATGCATTCAGTGACAGTGGCAATTACAGATAAAATGTGCATTTTATGTTTAAATGGAGTCCACATTAGATATTCAAAACCATTAAGTTGGAGGTATAACATATTTATAATGTATAATACTCAGGCTCTGTCATATAAGCATTCAAAATAAGTTTGACTTCTAATTATAATTTCAACTGAAGTTAATGAAAAGGTATACTTAGTAAATGTTTCCAAAGATTTCATAGAAACAAAGTGTTTTATATAATTTCTTAGAAAAAGATTTGCTTGTATAAAATTTTCAAATGATATCATTTATCTGGCTTGCCAATCTCTAGTTGACAAGAGCCTGTATTAACCATAATTTCACATGCTCTCCCACTCCCTCCACAAAAAATAGTAAGTTAGTAAATGTGCCCCTCAAAAAAATAGCAAGGATATTTTTCCCAACTACTTGTTCCAGAATTCTGTGTTCCTCTAAAGAGCGCTTTAATCTTTGGTTTTACATGGACATTTTCAGGTTTAATCTACAGTTTTTACTTTGAAAACCTCAATAAAAGAAATTTGCAGCCAGCTTGGTGCTTTAAATGTAAAGATTTATCCAAAGCACCAAATTACCAGTTTTACTCAGTAAGATGGAATGGATGTTTAAAGTCTAGGCTTAATGTTAAAGTAGCACACTGCTTGCTCCTAGTAACTTATCACTGTTTAAACAATATCATTTTTAAAATCCAGTGAAGAGAGGAGCAATGGAGAAAGTCAATTGGAGAAAGAGACTAACAATGATATCAGAGCTGGTAAGAGAGGCTTGGCAAAGCTGACAAGGACTGAAAGGAACTCTATCATGGTGTCAGTATGTTAGCTAGAACAGAGGAATATGAGGAAGCTTGAAATATGAAGGAATAAACTGTTATAAAAACAGATGATCTGAAGAAAAAACAATTCAATGAAAAAAAAAAGGAAATAATATGCATATAGTAGTAGATTAGGGGCCAGGAAGGGATAGAATAAAATACATGAATAGAGTCAGTTTTGGAGAATGTTTAGAACTTACTCTTACCTCCTAGCTAGCTATGCCATGCCAAAATGTAGTATTCCAGATCCTTCTTGCCTCAAACAAAGAACTGGATGAGACAAACTAAAAATGGTGCCTGAAGTTTGCTGGAAAAGTAAAGGGTGAAGGGAGTTGCTGGTTCCATGCAGTTAACTTGGCCAGGACGAAGAGAGGAAAGGGTAAGAACAAAAATATTGTGAGGAGTGACAATAGCAGGCTCCTCCTGGCATCTGCTCCTTTATGTGGTCCACATCTCATGGAAGCCTACACAAAATCCTACACGAGGAGACATGAGAATCATCAGGTGCCACAGTGGGATCTTGCAACTGACAGGTTCCACCCATTTTTCCAGCTCATTTTGCTATGCCTTATCTCTTACATCACTATCAAAAGTCTGCCAGGATGTTTTTATTTCTTTCTAATTTACATTTTTCATCATTTGAAACACCAGATATGCTTTGATCTTAAGCCTTATGGTCTTAGTTCTTCCAGAATATTTCTCAGGATTTTGACCTGTGCACACATCTTAGTCTTATAGCCAATTATCTGTTAGTGTCATTCCAAAATAACCTACAGTTACTGCAGGTAGTTACTAGAATGCAAAGCTTGAGTATGTCACAGTTCTTCCAAAACACAAACCATATAAAAAAAACCTAATTTTGGCCTATTACTGTTTTCTAACTCACATTTACAGGAAGCTAAAAAACTCTAAACTTCCATGATAATTTTATGTACTAATCACATAAGTTAATGAAATACCCTTTCAGCATGAAGTACCTACCCTCTAAATAAAATATTCTATCATTATTCCTGTGCTTCTCGCCTGCATGGAGAAGTGTACAAAGCATTGAAAAACCAAAACTATTCAGATCAAGACACTAGAATGGTGCCTCTTGCAATTAATTGGCAGTCTGCTATACTATTAACTGCAAGAAATAAGAAAATTGACATAGGTAAAAGCTCTAGTGAAATATCTAGTAGCTAATAATGTTCAAAAGCAAAATTTAACTTAGAATAGTATTCTTCATCAGTTTGTGTGGCTTAATCTAGTAGTATAATAAATCTTTCTTAAAGGCTACAGTTGCTTTGAAGTAAACATTTTGCATTGAAAATTCAGTCTTTCCAGGGATGTTAATTTTCAGTTCAGTTCACTAGTGTTGCACCCACCAGCCTTCCTTCAGCAAGAGAGGAACCAGGACAAACAATTCCAACTGTGGAAGGGGAGGGTGGAGGAGGAATTATATTACTGGCTCCGTTTTTCTCTCACATGGGCCCTGAATACAGACCAAGTATTCAGAAGGCTGTGTGGGAATACTTCTTTGCATTAATCAAAGAAAGGGGGACATTTTCCGAAAAATTTCTTGATAAAGTTAAGTATACTAAAGAGGCTTGGAAAACCCAGTTACCATCTCCTCAATTTCTTCATTCAAAATTTCCTCCATATAATAATGTGTTAGAGGATCCAGTCTTTTTCTTAATTTACAGAAATAATTCTGTAGAAGAGCTTCAGGAAAATCCCAGCCTATGGGATCATGCAATAGATTCCCCTGAAATGCTTAAACACAATTCATCACCTTAGATTTGATTGTACCCTTCAATAAACTTAAAAAGTAGCAATACTTTACCACCAATTCTATGTCTAATTCTTTTGTTCAGATTAAATTTGAAAACAAAAACATTGAAGTTACACTACCATTCTTCAAGCACAAAGCAAAAATGAAATAATATTTGAAAATAATTTATTGGAAGGTTTCCACCCCCATGTATTGACTAAGTCAGGGAGTACTGATATTATCCAAATTTTGAGGTCCAGGAAAAAACAAGACTTGACAGGGATTATGGATAAAAGCCATGGAAATAAGGGAAGAAGTCTTGTTAACACAATTACACATGAAGAATAGTGGCATTAGTTTGGTGGCAAAAGTATTAAAGAACAAATAGCCCAATTTGAGAAATACTGACATTTTATGACTTCGGAGACCTCCATATTTTCATCCCAGAATTCTAAACCTCAGTAAAAAAGTAGAGCTAGAACTTATACAGGATGAAAAATTTACAGGTTGGCCATTACTTTGTTATTTGTGGTAAAGGTCGTGTCTTAAAGGCGATTTCTAGAAAAGAACAAAAGGAAACAAAAATTCCATACTCACTCTTGGTTGGTAAGTACTGAAAATACAAAAATCCTTTTCTGCTTTTTGTTATTTTCTCTTAATTAACCACTTTTCAATTCCAGTTTTAGACTTTTTGGCCCTTCAATAGTAGCTTTTTAGGTCCATAGATTTTTAGTTCATTCATGAAAGCAAGTAGGGAAGATGAAAGGTATTCACTAGATTTTTCCAAGAAGCACTCTGAATGTTTGAATTCCAAATGCAATCTCCTCTAAAATTCACATAGAAAGGGTGCTATTTAGAGGCTAGGTTAGCTTGCAAAAGGGCTCATACAAAAGGTAAACTTGTGGGCTTACCATCTTTTTATTTCTGAAAAATCCTTCTCTTTCTCTGGAAGAAAAAAAAAATGACAAATGGCAAAAACTATTTCATATGTTCCAAGATCATCCTTGTTTACCAGAGAAAGGTAGAGCAATCAGTGCATCTGGAAACCAAACCATGAGATGACATGTTAGTTGTCCAAACATTTCTCTGGAAAGTAAGGACAGGGCTGTAGGAAACGTCGTTCATAGGTGCTGTTAAGTTGTTCACAAGTGTGCATCACAGAGTCAGCTTGTATGTCTAGACTGCCTTCCATTGGGGGAGAATGATGGTACACACGGTAACTGAAGTTAATTCAGTAAATCCAATATAAACACTGATGTTTTGTCTTCTGACGACATATGAATGTGCAAGCATTAAGTTATAGGAGAAAAGGGGCTAATTTTAGATTTGTTCCTAGCCCTCTCCATGTGAATGGTGTCGCTGTGAGCCCAGCAATGAAGTTCACTGTGTTGTAGCAGACTGCGCAGTTCCTGAGTGTGTCAACCCAGTCTATGAACCAGAACAATGTTGTCCTGTCTGCAAAAATGGTAAGACCACACTGCATTAGCTTTCAAGAGGGGTTAGTGCAAAATACAAATATTTCATTCCTGCACACCATTCAGTGCAAGAGCTCTCCCCCTATGATCTGCCGGGGGCTTTTCAATATGGGTATGGCTGATTTATTTTTTCCAAAGCCTTAAAGTGAAAATAAACTAGCAATGGGTGAATTTTGCAGCCTTGCATCTGGGGAATTAAAGCTCTTGTAAGCTGCCTTTGTTGTGATCCCTATTATTTATTGTTAATTTATAAGGAGGCTATCGAAAGAACCCAGTACCATCTTTTAGTAGTGACTGTATTTCTCTCTTATGGAGCCGATGAGGCAGTTTACCCACCTCCATAATGTATTCTGTACCCAGATGGAGACATAGGGTGATGGAGAATAGGGTGAATGACAGGTGTTTTACACGGGGCAAGGAAACACATTCAATTATCAGTGTTCTTAAATTTACATAAGAAAGACAAAAATTTAGCGATTTTTATTTTAGATTTTTATTACAGTAGAGCTTTGCTCTCACAGAAATAGAGTGGAAGAGTTGGCTTACTTATAAGGTTATGGATTCCTTTTTGTCCCCTATGGAATGCAATGGTTGACACAACAGCATCTTAATCACCCAAAGCCAATGTAATGCTGCAGAGAGGACAATGCAATGCAGTGAACCCAGTTCAGCGTATTGACAGAGGAAATAGCCCACGCTTCTTCATAGCTACAGTCTATCAAAAAAACAGCAAGGTAACGGTACATAAATGCCCCCCCTTGGCAATAATATCTGCTTGAAAAATTGGTTCTGGCTCTTAATTAAGTTGAGATCTCTGACTTTACCCAGGCCCTTTCTTGAGGCAGCCCAGAAACATATTCCTATATGATCTATTTTTCTTTCTGAATTTAGTATTATCTTAACTCACCTACTAGGTTTTTTTTCCTTCACAGAAGGATGATTAGTAAAACGAAGCATCAGGTTATTAAAATAAAAGTAGCTCTGGCTGTTTCTTTAATAAATTTTGTGTTTTAGCATCTTCCCAAAGGATTTATAATGAACTCTTCTAACATTTTTGTGGTTTTACTATTTCTGGTCATAGTGATCCATTCAGTTAAAATATTACACCCTTACCTGGCTTCTCTTGTGTTTCTTTTCAAACTGACTGTTATAACGACCATCACTATGACTCAGAGGGTAGCGATTAATATACTCCTTAAGTTCTAACCTATCTGATATGGGCAGACATCCATTTAAGATTTTATACTTTTTTTAAAAAAAGATTTTAAAGAAACTGGAAAAGAACAATCAGATGATATAATGGTTGAAAAATAGGACCTAGGAGGATATACTGAAGGAGTTAGGATAATTTGCCCTGGAAAAGAAAGAGCTCAGGGGAAACCCAACTGTCATAAAGGATATGAATGGCTAGTCTAAAGTAGAAGAGGACTGGTTATTTTTCATTTTCTCCAAGGATAGAAAGAAGAGAAACTCAGCTACTTAATCAGCCTTTAAAAATAGGATTGACAAGTCTTGAAGACGGTTCTTTCTTTCCAAGAAGTAACTATATGAACAGATATATAGATCTTTTCTTCCCTAGTTATCTTTGTGTCACTTTTAAGAAAAACATAATTATGCTTTTAGATAAAATCTTGTCTGGACACACTCAGCATAGATTTAGAGTATCTAGGACATACACTTAGGATATGATTTTTACACCTACATCCAACATAACATCCTACCCTACCCTACACTGAAGCCTAAAATAGACATAGCTACATTTAATGTCTGCATCCAATGTTAAATCAGCCGCTGCAAACTAGTCTCATTTAACTTCCTACCACCCAAGATTTTCCTGATCCTTTTCACAAAAATATATAAATCATGATCTTTAATTGTTCAATTACTTAATGAATGAGAATAATGGCTATCCCTGATAAACAGACGTGGAGTTCACAAGACATATTAGTGTTCTTATTTTTTTTCCTCGACAGAGCACTGTAAGATGATCACTTGTACTTCCTCTTACTACTTCTAAACATTTTTTCCTCTTTTTAAATAGGGGAAATGAATCTTGATTAAAATCCGGAGAAATTCTCTTATGTAGCACTGAGAAGTAATTTTTTAAAAATTATTGAATACTACTGTGCCAAGAAAGTATAATCAATGTTAAAGAAGAGTAAATCAAGGCCCACTGAAATCTCCTATGACCAACAATACTCATATTTTTATTAAGGAAACAGACTGAACCCCAGGTCTTACTTGTTCTCCTTCTAAGCCACCCCAGGAAACAGAAATGGATGATCCACATATGGAAGAGTTAGAAGTAGAAACAAATGTTTATCATGACCAAGTATAACTAGGACAGTTTCTTAAATTTTCAACAGATTATAAATCTATCTCATTATATATGAGAAGATAAATTTTCACATAATCGTGTAAGCACTGGGAGTGGTGGCACACGCCTGTAATCCCAGCTCCTAGTAGGCTGAGGCAGGAGGATCACTGTGAGTTCAAGACCAGCCTGGGCTACATAGTGAGTTCCAGGTCAGTCTCAACTACATGGTGAGAACCTGTCTCAAAAAAACCAAAAAACAAACCAACAAACAATATCACATAAATATTTCAAATATTTGGAAACTGATCATATATTTGAATAGTATATATCTGACAATGCTTGTTTGTTTTTTGAATGTATATTAATATTAATTTAAACTTCTTGCTCTGTAGCCACTCATTCCATTTTTCAATTGTCCATACATACTAATATTTTTGTACCAAGTCATTAAAAAATCCATATACACAGACATTAAAAAATCCATATACACAGACTGCCAAACATCTGGGCTGGAAAATAAAGTATTTGGCCAGTTACTGAGATGTTTGATCATTGGAACATCCAAATGACTAATTGCATTTTTTTGCATTTCATTAGCCAGTATGTCAGTGAATTTAATGTTTTTGCTGGAATATAATGAGGCATTATTCATGTTTCTGATGGAAAAGGTACCTCATGAAAAATTGGAAGAGACAGGATATTTACCACAAAATGTTATACACACATTGGATGAAAGGTTCTCATCTTCTTTCTAACTCAATGTAAATTGACATAACCCTGCTGAAATGTTTAATTTTACATCTCTTACTCTCTTTTAGTTTAGTGGTGATACAAATAAAACAGCAGAGAGACTAAGAAAAAAGTCAACTCCTTTGGACAACGAAGGGAATGGGCCATTCATAAAAAAGAAAGAGAAAGAATTTCATAGTATATGAAACCTTCTCCAAATACTTGAGAAGGCATGCTTGCCAGGCACAACTGTTAATATCCCCAATATGCAAAGTGCTCCTCCAGGTGAATAAGAAAATGAATAACAATTTCACAGGGTGAAAAATAAGTGAAAATTATTATATAAAGGAATTTCACAGAGCAAAAACATGTCTAATAAACTACGAAACATTCATTAAACCAAAAGTGATCAAGGGAGATGGAAATTGAAGTTGGCCAGGGATTCAATTGAGTTCAATCCCTGGTACAAAAAAAAAAAAAAAAAAAAAAAAAAAGAAAGAAAGAGAAAAAAATTGAAGCAATGAGGTACCAATTTTGTACGGATCTTAATTTGAAATTAAACATACTTCAAATTGACAAAAAATTCAGAAAAAGATTGAGAAATTAGAGAGAATGCTGAACAACTTTTAAGAAGGCACTTTCTATCAAAATGTTCATGTCACTTAATTGGCAGTTCTAGCTCTAGTGCTTTGTCCACATTTATGTTCAAATCTTCATTGCATTTTAAGAGTGAAAAGTTGAGAGAAAACCCAGTAGTCCTTCAATAGGATATAGAAATTTACTGCAGCCTTTAAAAGGACATGACTGACTGTTTTTACTGCCAAGTAAAATAAACAAGGACCAGAAGGTACATTACTTTGTATATACCATATTAATTCTTACCATATGTAATGTATACATCTTAAATGAAATATATTTAAAACAGTTTTAAATTAAATACAGTTTTAAATAGATGGATACTATACTTTATAGGAAAAGTGTAGTATAGGAAAAAGGAAAAGAGCTAAGTAGATATACCATAGAATGATAACATTGATTCCCTAATTACGACTAGGAAGCCTAAAGGAGAAACTAAAGAGGGGGGAAAATAGCTAACATCTTGAAAACATTAAACACCTGCAAATTGATAATGGCAAAACAACAGAATTATGTGAAGAGGTAGTTCACACAGTAATCAAATTATCAAAATGTCAGTATTATTCATTGTCATTAATAATCACACTAGACTATTTAAAAACCCTCTTCTGTTGTTTCTATATATTGCACAACGTTTTGGAACAATGCATACCAACTTTTTAGCTGTGATTCAGTGATGAGAAGAGGAAATAGGCAATAGAGGGAACTTTGACTTTTTATTTCATAAGCCTTGTTACTGAGTGCATTTCATAAACCATTGTGCTTCTAAGATTTAAGAGATTTCATCAAGCCTTAATAAAAAGACAATGTTTTATAAGCTAGAAATTTTCTTTTTTATATTGATATAAACCAAAGATTACAAACAAAAAAATGAAGTTAAAGTACAACCATATTTATTATCATTAATAAATAAATCATAAAATGCAAACACAAGCTCCCCTAAAATCATCAGATTATACATTGTACAGGAAGAATGCAGTTCACATATTGTATAATGTATTATATCACCAATGGTCTAAACAAGTATTCTTTAATGAATTATATGAATATTTTTGTAGCAAAATACATGATAATTATATTAAGGATACTGAATAAAGTCTTATTTCTGACAGAATTTTTGTATCAAAGTCATGAAAAACTGTTGGATCTTAACAAATTGTGGGAAAGAAGCTATCTATTTTGTTAGCAAAACAGATATAAGCAGCAGGTTAAAACATTATGTGCTCAGTTGGGCATAGTGGCACATGCTGTAATCACAGCATTCTGGGAGGCTGAAGCAGGGAGATCACAAGTTTAACCTTAACCTGAG